AATGGTCCGATTTGGAAAATTCAAACGCCAATCGAAAGATCTCATCACGAACAACTAAAAACATGTACTTAATTTTAAGTTTGAGGTCAAGGTCAAGGTGCGGTCAAGGGTACAAATTGCAAGTTCCTACAGTATCGGCCTTGCACCGTAGTTGCCGAAGAATGGAGTCATGGACTGAGACTGATCGCCCAAAACGTGTTCTTAGGCTACCAAGACAATATTCGTTGCATACAATATCATTCAGAGTTCAAGGTCAAGGTCAGGTCAGGTCAGGTCAGGTCACCAAAAACAAAATATAGAAAAGGGCATGTGCAACACATATTTTATGGGTCATTTTACTCATAGAATTCAATAGGCACACTCAATAAGTGATATGGACCACCTCTGGATGAATTTCAGGTCGAGGTCAGGTCAAGGTCAGGTCAAGTGAGGTCAAATTTTGAAGTTGGTTGTTAGGGCCTAAAAAGGTGTCTATCTGATGCAGTTTTTCACGGCGAATCGAATGGTGCTATTTTTGTTTCCGTACGAGGTCTAGAACTTCCCAAAAAGTCATTTTTCAAAAAATTTGTGTGGCGTGACGTCATAAAATTTTGAATAACTCCCACATTTTTGAACCGATTCTTCTAAAACTTGGTATGTAGGTGCACATAGACCACTTTTCTGACATATATTCCGTGTTTTTATACACTCAAAATTTTTGATTTGATAATTATTTTCCCAAAAAAGTCAGTTTTTTTTAAGAAAAAAAATTGGGCCAAAATCCAAAATTTTCAAAAAACGGAGATAGCCATTTGATAGACAAAGTAAAATTACGTATATCCTTTTTTGTTACGTCTTGATTCATTAAAAAATTAAGATGTTAGCGGCGTTTGAACTTTTGCCGTTTTTGAGGTGAAAATGGCGAACATGACGTCACTAAAACGTCAATTTCTCAAAAATTTTCCAAACGATTTCGCTCAAATTTTCAGGGAGGAACGTGTCAAATTGATGTAAAAAAAGGTACTGAAAGTTTGTCGGCGCTGCGCGCCGCCGTTTTTGAGATATTGCAAAAATTCGGGAGGGTGGTAAAATTTACCCCCCCCCCCCAGCCCCGCGCGGGTTAAAGCATTTTTAGTGATGAGGTGTAAAACGCAATTTTTTTAACATTATTGCTCCAGGATCCCCAATTTTGAACTTTTTTGACTTTTTATTGTCAGTCACGATGAGAGCAATCGAATGGCGTTTGTCGGGCACTAAGATCAGACATTTAGTTTTCGAGATATCAAGAGTTTCGAGAATCGGCCCCCTCAACCAGTTAACGTAGTCCAAAGAGCCCACCAGTAATAGGGTTAAATATGTGTCACACGTATCCTATTCAATTGTTCGTCTTTGGTGACCTGACCTGATCTGATACAGAGCTTGACCGTTGCATGACATTCTATGCAATGAATAATCTTGTCTTCGCAGTAGCCTAATAAGGCGTTATGTGTAATGAGTCCAAATTCATTCTTTGCAACTGGACTCCAAAGCTAATGATGTAGAAAATTGTAGATTATACCTTTGACCTGACCTGTGACCATGTGCTCCAAAGCTCCGTCTGGTCTAGACCTTTTAATTGCCGTTTTCATCGTCTCTCTACAACCATCCGTTTGGAATCCCCCCCATTCGGGGGGGGGGAGTTCGGGGGAGGGCGCGTTCGGCTGAACAGTCCAGCGTGGCGCGGATTAATTAATTAAGCGTTTCAAAGAGAGTCGAAAGGTACAACACTTCTTACTAGCTGGCATGTAGCTTATCCTTGAACTGTGGCAGCCGGCCTAAGCCTCAGGAATTTCCATCACCTCAGATAGCTAGAAGTGCGCCGAACTCGCCAGAGCAACGCTCGCGAATTTCATGACAGGAATAGCTAACGGGATTTATTGAACAACGCTTGTCTGGCTCAACTATAGGGCTTATTTCGTAGCATCAGCAGAGAGCATGGCGCCAATTTGATTGATATTCCCAAGGCACGACGTTCCCATTCTCGTTAGCGGTCAGCGGCGGCTGGAGACGTATTAGAGCCGTCATCTGATGACCTTTATCCCGCATTGTGCAACAGCGGCTGCAGCGGGCGAACACACGTCCCTGCATGGAGAACCTGTCGGCCGCCGGCCGCCCCTGGAACTGGTCTCGGCCGAGGACATATAAATGTCTCACACCAGCAGACTGGTCAAAGTGCACCCAGCGGCGGCGTCTTCAGTTGGCTTCACTCATTCCACGGCAGCATGTGAGTCGCGCATCATAGAGTACATACTGAGGCCTGGCGTGAATATTGTGTGACACCATAAATAGCCATGTCATATACTCTATGAGGCTGCATAATGTTTAATCTTTGGAGTGGCAGGCCCAATCACAATAACTGGAAGCATGTGTTTTTGGTCGAGTTGTCGGTGCATAAAAACACATGCTCAGAGGATAATGGGACATCATGTGAGTTTGCCAATCCGCAACGTTTTAAGGGGCAAGAAAGGCAGATCAGTCCCGGTTTTACAGCTGTAAGCATAATGTCTTATTGCATTGATGACCCATTGGAGGTCCTCCCCATGACGAGGTTGTATCCATCAGGGTGCCAACGTGCGATTCTTTGGGATTTACAGATGTAGTCCCGAGCCTGTTTTGGCTGTCAAATGACACTGCTGAATGCATCTGGTGTTGTGCGCGGCCCATCTCGCAGTGTACTGAGACACCTGTTTGGCACAGCACACCGTCGTCCGCCTTCAGATAGGCACAGATTTGATCCTGCGGCAAAAACATCACGAATGAGCCGCTCGGGGATGCACAACGCGCGTCACCTCGGGACACCGTGCACCGGATGACCTTGACCTACACCAGCTGACTGCGCTCTAACCAGCTGACTGCGATCTGCTGATCAGCTGACTGCGGTCTGCTGATCAGCTGACAGCGCTCTGACCAGCTGATTGAGGTCTGCTGATCAGCTGTCTGCGGTCTGCTGACCAGCTGACTATGGTCCGACCGGCTGACTGCGGTCCGATCACCTGACTGCGGTCCGACCGGCTGACTGCGGTCCGATCACCTGACTGCGGTCTGACCAGCTGACTGCGGTCTGACCAGCTGATTGAGGTGACTGCGGTCCGCTGACCAGCTGAATCATCCCTCAGGTCCCCGGTCTGGCTGGCAGCGGCTCTGATGGCTACCACCCTCGTCGGGTCGGCCAGCGGCACGGCCTTTTCGGTCGGACACGCTAACGCGGTTGGCATTAATGGTTCGTATTATAGTTATAAATTTTTAATGAAAACTGGTAATTGAGACCTGAGTTTGGTATATGTGCAGTATGAATACTGATAACTTTTCACATAACGAATCTACAACTTACCTTATTTTTTAATTGTGCATTATCTAGCATTCCTGAGCTGGCTAGAATGATGATTATGACGTTTCTCACGAACATGTTGATGATGATGATAAAAAGTATAATGATGATGACCATATCGCGTTACCGGTAACAGCCGGTCCCGTAGCTCAGTTGGTAGAGCGCTGGACTCCGCGTGGTGAGAGCACGCGTTCCCGGTAACAACAGTCCGGGTTCGAAGCGCGACGGGCGCTTGACATTTATGGGCCTCCTGACAGGTATGGTTGCGGTTGGTGGCAGGCCGTAGCCAGGCGAAGTCAGTGAGGGGACCGGCCGTGCGCGGCTATGTGCGCACGTTAAACTTTGGACTCTAAATTCTGCCATAGAACTGGAATTGCGCGATCGGAGGGTAGAGGGCAGGGTCACCGCAACAAGCTTCGCTTAGCGGTGGCCCTGTCCTTGTGAATCCTTCCCATCAAAAAAATTCGGACTAAATTTATAAAAAAATATATTGTTGTAATAATTATTATTGTTATCCTTGCTGTTATAACTAGTTCATTTTTGAAATCCTGATTATATTTCCATGCCATTCCGTAATCCGTAGGTATCACTGTCTCCCTCCCGGCAGGTGCCCTTCGCTTCAGCAACGTGATGGCGGACGACGCGCGCGGCTGGCGCTACAACCGCGCCTGGTACGAGGTGCGCCGCTCGGGCCTCTACTAGGGGAAAGTGGGGTAAGACGGTCAGGGTAGGTAAGACGGGCACCCCTTCTGCAGACCAAACCAATAGCGCTACGAGCAAGAAAAGTTAGGACCAGAATTGCCTTTCCCACTACACACCACCATTCAAGTCTGGTGAATTTGTGTTCAGTCGATAATCTTTTATTTTGATTTCTTTAAAACACTCATTTCATTGAAAACATCCATAATGTATTGTGCAAGCTTTTGTGTACAGCACTATAGAGTTAAAAACTCGCAATCACTTGTGGTACACTCATATGCCAACAGTGTTCATTTACGGCGGATTTGCTTTGTCTGCATCAAATTGTCCACAGCGAAAAATCGTGCTGAACTTCTGACATTGAGTTTGGGGTAAGACGGGCAACTATGAACCCAATGGGTCTGTAATGGTGAAAATATTTTTGTTGCTGTAGGAAAAAAGAAGCATTTCTAATAAGAATATGTTCGATTCCGATACTCACAGACATGTTAGCAATATTCCTTCGGCACAGTTTATTCTCGAATAATGAATGTGAAAAACGGTTCTACATGGCTTCTGAACTAGGGCCTATATAGGAGCATACGCCTTCTGCACGAATCTCGTATACTGCCATTTCCGAAGCACTTGAGACCAACGAGCGACTGTATAAATGCGGCTAATCTCGGGCATTTGTTGCGAGCTGCGCTGATCGGTGAAAGAAGCTGGCCGTCTTGCCCTACCCATGTGACCGTCTTACCCCATGGGGTGGGGTAAGACGGGTTTTTGCAAGGTTTTGCAAAAATAGCTGCAGTTTATTTGTTGAATCAGGTCTAAGTCTCATCTTCTGGCAAATGAAAGTAAAATGTCTGAAAAAGGTTTTCACCCAGTTTCCCGTTTCTATGATGTTTCTAACCGGCCGAAAAATGGCTCCAAAGTTAAGGTGCCCGTCTTACCCCACTTTCCCCTACCTGACCTTCCACGGCCTCTCCCGGCCCGAGCGGACGCTGACGTAAGGCCACCAACGAGCGAGACAGGCGAGCTGACAACAGGGCGCCAGTGTGTAGTGCAATAGCAGCCAGAAATGGTGTTAATGCGCTTACTCTCTTTATAATAAGCAAAAAAGAAGAAACTAATGCTTTATAATTAACAATTTACAACGCATATGCACGAGCCACGTCGGCATAAAGCGGTAGCTAAGCTGAATTCTCTTTAACCCGCGCACCGACGGGGGGGGGGGGCGGATATCCGCCCCCCCTGAGGTTTTTCGCGAATAGCGGGAAAACCGCGGCGCGTAGCGCCGCGAAATTTGGTATGACTATTTCCTTATCAATTTTACACATGGTGTGCAAGTTTGAACCTCCTAACTTTCAAGGTCAGGTCACCAGGTCACTTTGAATGACCCAACCTCAAGTCACTTTTTTGCAACTTTGTCACCGTGCCAGAGCTACAGTAGATGTCGGAGGCCTTTGAAAGTCGCAGGATGTTATTAGGTCATTAGTAGCTACAATTTGTATATCTCGGAATTTTGATATCGGTGACCTAAGGTCAGGTCAATTTCGCGACCTCCCCATTATAAGTCAATGGGGGAAAAATCAACTCCCTGTTTTTACCACTAAAACGGGTCGGAATGGCCCCATATACCATACATGACTTCATATACGATCAACCTTCACTACCTTGAGGTCTGTTTTGCTGTTGGGCAGCTGTGAGGTCATGTGACGTCATCAAAGGTCACCAAAGGTTTTTGGCCAATAACTCCGTACAGGAGCAAGATACAGACGCGTGGATGGTCTCATTGTGTTCAGCTCGTCAAGACGCATCGAATGATATACATGATGACCTCGAGGTCACGTGACCTGAGGTCAACCTTTGACCTTGACCTTTCGAGGTCAACATATATATCATTCGATGCGGATTGACGAGAGGATCACGATGATGCCCTTAGTTTGTTCCTATCTTGACTAATTCGAAAGTTATTCGAGAAAAACTCTCTCCATATTTAGCGCCGCCATTTTGACGTTTTCGACCCCTGTGACGTCATCTTTGACCTGACCTGAAAATGACCTTAGTAAAAATTGTAGATCTTGACCGTGCGTATCCGATGCCGTTTACCGCTTGTCGCTATCTTGCTTCGTTCTCGAGATCTCAGGGGGGGGCGGTCATCCGCCCCCCCCCGTCGGTACTAAGTTGGCGCAGACCCCCGTCGGTGCGCGGGTTAAGGTCGCCCCACACCGGACCTCGCATGCGGGTTGCGAGTTTGTGGGTTTTCGGGGTTTATTCAAAGTTAACCCTATTAGTGGCAGGGGGGGGGTTGTTTTTATCCACCCCTCAGGTTTTTCGGGAATATCTCCGAAACCGCTAAAGCTACGATGCTGAAACTTTCTGACTTTTCCTAAAACTAAATTGGGCACATTTCCTGAAAATTTCAAGTTCATAACTTTACCAGGGGCGGCTCCAGAGCACTGGGAATTGGGGGGTCCTATTCGTGAAGCGAGTCATTTGGGCGAAGATCACGATGATGCACCAGTTAACGAACAGTGAATGAAAGGTATCATGTGATAACATATACAAAGTTATTGTGCATCCTCTTTTGACACGTTTTTGCTATAATAGGCGGATCCAGGCGTCCAAAAAGGGGGGTTATTTTTTACCTCCCAACATAGGTGCCCTGACACCGCCTATGCATGACCAATACAATTTTAGTCGTTCTCTCATAAGAAAATTGTATCATAACAAGACCATTGCCACCCTTTTTAGAAACAGTACCAACAAAAACCTTATTTACTATACTTTTTGTGTACCCCCAATCTCAATGATCTGTATCCGCCTATGATTTTTGAAAATGCATATTTTTAGGATCCATGTGAATTCCTGGTTCATTCTCTATCGATCGGCAAAAGTTGCGTTAAGATTGGTTCAGAAACCAAGCCGTGATAAACAGTCTAAAATGTATCTGCAATTTGCCCGTTTTTACCCCCCTCTACCCCCCTATTGACATTTTTTAATTTTATTTTTTTTAGAAATGTAGATCTCGTTGAGCCAAATCGAATGCCGTTTGAATTTTGAAAATCGGCCGATTAGATCTCGAGATATCAAGGGGGGGTCGTAAACAGCCCCCCCCCCCTGCCACTAATATGGGGTAGCCAGGAGCCTGCCACTAATAGGGTTAAACAATACATTCTAGGTTAAGTGACCCACACCGCCATCTAAAAAGTGAGTCCGAAAATGTTTGACTTGCGAGCTATCTCGCCTCGCATTCCAAAAGTTGATTTTGAGTCAACTTTTTAGGTTTTCCTCGCTGCGAGGGCTGCAAGATTTGAGGTGTTTTGGTGGTGTCGGTTATAGGTTCGTTTTGCTTTTATTGAGACAATACGTAATTTTCTAAAGGTGTATCGTCTTCACAGCATTCATGGATTGAGTATAAGAGAATAGTGTTCTCACTCCACGAATGAATATAGTAGCCGCTAACCCGAAACCCGCAGATTCGCAACTCGCTCGCGAGGTCCAGAGTGGGGCGGCCTTTAGAGAGAGAGTCCGGAACGTTTTCGCTGCATTTTTGCTTCATAACCTCCGCCAGTGCATTATGTTTATGATTAGTTACATCACGAGCATTCATTCATTCATTCATTCATGCATTCATTCATTCATTCATTCATTCATTCATTCATTCATTCATTCATTCATTCTGTCTGTCTGTCTGTCTGTGAGGAAAATTGCAGTTCTAATGAGTTATATTGCCTTAGGGAGGGGGGGGGGGGGACTGCCGACTTTTGGTCCCATTCTTTCCTTGCAACGTCCATAGGGCTAATGTTAAAATGACAAAATCAAGGGGGCATGGTGCACCGGTGCCTGCCCCTCGCCCCGTTCCGCCGCCTATATGTGATGCATTGTGACGAATCATGCATCATATTTTCTTTTTCTCGCCTCTGTCTTTAGATTGGCCGTGTTTAGAAACAACGAGGAGCTGTTTACGGGGTACGGCAGTGGTTTGGACTACAGCACGGCGAGTAACGCGGGCATCGCCTATCTGAATCGCGGCGACCGTATCCAGCTGAGGGTAAGCCGCCGGCGCCGCCACGGGGACCGGGACGGAGCGAGGAGCTTTGACAGGCCTTTAATCTAAGTACCGGGTGTCCCAAAAGTAAGGTCATGATTTAAAACTTAAATATCTCGAGAAGTAAGAGTCCGAATCACTTCTAATTTTAACCCGCGCCGGGCCGGGGGGGGGGGGGGTGTTTGAACACCCCCCCTTGCGGTTTTTCGCAGATATCTCAAAAACGGCGGCGCGGAGCGCCGCCGTTTTTGGCACACCTGTTCGTGCATCTTTTCCGCACATGTTGTGAAAATTTCAGACCCAGGTCACCTTAGGTCAGGTCACCAGGTCACGCCAAGTGACCTCACCTCAGAAAAAATAAGAATGCTCGTCATAGCTACACCGACTGAACGATTGCCTTGAAACTTTCAGCGATTGATTAGAGCAACACTATCTATAAAATGTATATCTCGGAATTTTGATATCGTTGACCTAAGGTCAGGTCAATTTTGCGGCCTCTCCATTATAAGTCAATGGGAGAAAATTGAAAAGCGCCTGTTTTGCACGAACGCTATTCTAGACACTCTCAAACATCGAGATGTAGGTAAAATAGACACACTGAACCAGAAAATGGCAACTGTGACCCCTCGTTATGTCCCCGAGGTCATCTCAGGTCACGAACAGAATCTAACAGTTTTTCGATGATAACTTCTGATAGAGGCGTGCTAGAGCGCTGAAAACGCCTTAGATGTGTTCGGCTCGACGTTGCGGATCGACTGATATGCAACATGACCTTTTCCGGTCAGGTCATGACCTTGACCTGAGGTCAAATTTTCAAGTTGACCTTTCAAGGTCAAATTATAGTTCATTCGACGCGTCTCGACGAGAGGAACACGATGCTGGGAATAGTAATGTCATAGCTCTTTTGAGTCAAAAGTTATTGCCGAAAAAACGTTTTTCGTAAAAACGGCTATTTTTGGAGTTTTTGCCCTCTGGAGGCTAAACCGTTGACCTGAGGTCAAATCTGAGAACATCACTCAGAAAGGTCTGTAAAAGGGCTATCGAATGCGCTTTTTTGCGGCGCTGTAGCTCTATCGGTTCCGGAGATAGCCGTTGGCAGTTTCCAAAATGTTGAAATAGTGAACATTTGACCTTTGGTGACCTCTGGTGACCTGACCTTTGACCTGACCCAAAAAATGACCGAAGTGTTTTCGTCCTTATTTTGGACGTTCTTTCGATTGCCGCTTACCGCGTGTCGCTACGTGGCCCAGGAGCCGAGTTAGAAGGGGGGGGGGTGTTCAAACACCCCCCGCGGCCCGGCGCGGAATTTCAGAGCACCGGCCCGGCGCGGGTTAACACGTGCAAGATACATCCATAAAATTATTTTCTTGCATGCTTAAACCATTTTTGATCATAACTACACCGAGCAGTAGGCATAAAACTGAGAAGGTCGAAATTCAACTCTTAGAGAGGGTCCGTCATTAAAACAAAGGGTAAATACCGCCTAGTTTTCGGCCCTAAGCAGACCCTATCAGCTCGCCCTATCTCTGAACTCATGCATAGTTTCGCCTCAACCGGTAAAACGTCAGAAAAAAGGTAAAATGTACGCACAGGGCATGTATACTTAGCCACCTGTGCTTCGAGGTCCTGAGGACGACAGCGGGAATCGGGTGAAAATAAATCAAGAGAGGTGGCCGAGAGTCCTCCCAGTGGTTCTTCCGCTCGTCGCAACGCAGCTGTGCCGACACCATCAACCAGCAGTGGTTTCAGCAGGATGGAGACTATGCTTGCACCGTCCTGAAGATCATGCATTGTCTCCGAGAGTGGATGTGAGATCGCGTAATTTTCAGTCAGGGCAACGCCATTGAATGGCCTCCGCGGTCACCTGACGTTACACCTTCATATTTTTATTCTCTGGGTACACAACGGAAAGGTTGTCTTTTAGGACAACCCAACGAGCCGGGAAGAACTACAGGATGATCCCTCCGAGCAAACATAGCGGCATCTCACCAGAGAATCGCTCCAGAATAGTGGAGGAAGTAAAACGCAGTCTATTCGTGCACGCGGCCCGAAATGGTAGCCATGCAGAAAAGCAGCAAATGTGGGGCTACGAGCCAATGTATTGACTCATACGTATATCAGAATAAAATTTTATAAAATGCTCTTTCATATGATGTCCTATTTATTTCTATCCATCGCGTATTTTTGGCGGTGTGGCCAAAACAAATGATGACCTTACTTTTGGGACACCCGGTATTTGCTTCAGTGGACCTGCCTACTACGTGCTCAGTATTACTGGCTTAGGATAACTTCACCAGTTATTTTGTATCGCATTTGATCTAGCCAGTGTCACTCAGCCTAACTTGGGCCACCAAAAGGTAGGCAGATTAGAAGCTTAATGAGGTAGGTGATTTATAAATGACACAACTGGTAATGGCCAAGCTTTGGATGAGGTTTTCTATAATGTCTTGCATGTTCAATGCGCATTGCTCGGGGATTACGAGTAAAGTATGCAAACTATGCATGTTGCGCCGCTCCTATTTATTTGGCCTGTTCTGCAAACGCAACAGCTTCCCATTGCTTGCATTCAGTCGTGCATAAACTTTCAATTTACAACTACATTGTCTCCGGCAGATAATTGACGGCTCAATCCACGAATCCAGCCACCCTGTGCGCAGCTACGTTACTCTCAGTGGCTTCAGGGTGGGCGGCGGCACCGGCGGCATCGGCACCGGCATCACCGGCATCGGCACCGGCATCGGCGGCGTCACCGGTGGCATCGGTGGCATCGGCGGCGTCACCGGCGGCAGCATCTTCCCCTCGCGGCCGGGCACCACGGCCTTTAGCGGCAGCCCGATCAGCCCGGTGGGCGTGCTGGCGTCGCCGGGCGTGACCTCGACAGCGGCCTTCCTGCCGCCGCCGGCCAGCTCGGCCACCGACGGCGACACCTTCCTGCCGCTGGACATCGACGTCCAGGGGCCCGCCTGAGGCCCGCCGGACATCGACGTCCAGGGGCCCGCCTGAGGTGCACCTGATGCCCGCCTGAGGCCCGCTGGACATCGACGTCCAGGGGCCCGCCTGAGGCCCGCCGGACATCGACGTCCAGGGGCCCGCCTGAGGTCCGCTGGACATCGACGTCCAGGGGCCCGCCTGAGGTCCACCTGACGCCCGCCTGAGGCCCGCTGGACATCGACGTCCAGGGGCCCGCCTGAGGCCCGCTGGACATCGACGTCCAGGGGCCCGCCTGAGGTCCGCTGGACATCGACGTCCAGGGGCCCGCCTGAGGTCCACCTGACGCCCGCCTGAGGCCCGCCGGACATCGACGTCCAGGGGCCCGCCTGAGGCCCGCTGGACATCGACGTCCAGGGGCCCGCCTGAGGTCCGCTGGACATCGACGTCCAGGGGCCCGCCTGAGGTCCGCTGGACATCGACGTCCAGGGGCCCGCCTGAGGTCCATTTGATGCCCGCCTGAGGCCCGCCGGACATCGACGTCCAGGGGCCCGCCTGAGGCCCGCCGGACATCGACGTCCAGGGGCCGGTCTGAGGCCCGCCGGCCGCGGCCGTCTCAGCTCCGACTCGGCGTGAGACTCGGTAGTCACGCGCCGTGTCATCTCGTGAGTTTCTGTGATGATGTTTGTTCGTTTGCTTGCTGTGCGGAAGAAGGTGCGGCGCAGCTCTGTATGTATGTGTAACCTCGCACACCAGTAGATGCAGAGGCTGGTCGCTGAACAGCTGCCAGCGGGCAATGTCGGCAAGAGGCGCACCATTCCGCTGGCTCGGATGATGTTTGCGCTACAACAGTTTGTTACGAGCGAGCGAGCGCAGCGAGCGAAGTGAGTCTTTTCAATATAACGGAAAAATCTCAGTATGAGCGGCCCGGCCCGGCCCGGCCCGGCCTGTAACGCTTTTGAGAGGCTTCTATCTCAGCAACCGCTGGACCGATTGGCCTGCGGTCTTTGTTGTTGGGTAGCCCCATCCCTTCTACCCCGTAATTGACTACTTTTGATACATCTCAGTGACCGTCGTGGCACGTGCCACGTGAAAAGTCAAGGAGGTTCAAGCTGTTTTGCAAAAGTAGTGATTTTGAAAGGCTCATATCTCAGCAGCCGCTTGGGCGATTGACTTGCGGTAATTTTTGTAGGGTAGCAGCATCCCTTCTACCCAAAATAGGATACTCTCGATGCATGTGAGTCACCCCCAGTGCACGTGCAAAATACAACAATAAGAGGTGCCAAATTTGTTCCCATTTCAGTAACTCGGTAATTACTGGGGCGATTTCGCTGAAACTTGGCATACAGGTAGGCACCCACCAGGCAATGCATTCCCATGTGTTGCGGTTAGGGTGCTACTGCACGTGCGCACGTGCAGGGGGCGTTTCCAGATCTCGAGAACGGCTGGGCCGATTGCGCTCAAATTTGGTACACGGTTGGGGACCAGTTAGTAGGGTGCCGTGCAAAAGTCATTTTGGACCCCGTTTGCACGTGCGCACGTGCAGAATGGCGCTTCCAGATCTCAGGAACGGCTGGGCCGATTGCGTTCAAATTTGGCACACCGCTAGCGACCGGTTAGAAGGGTGCTTTGTGCAAGCCCGTTGGAAGCACCCTCTCGCCCTTCCGCACGTGCAGGGCTCACTATCTCGCTCGCTCGTTCTTCGCCCAAAAGGCGTTTTACTGGTATTTGTACTACAGTTGATTGTTGTAGCAGTTCTCAGCAATACAATGTTAGCGCTGTGAATGGGATACGTTATGTTTCGTGCTTACAAGAGATCGATTTATTATTTAGCTATGCATTTTCACATGCAGGGTACCATAACCAATAGGAAACAAGTCTCTAAAGCAAAAATGTTATTCAAACATTCTGGCCGCTCACCAACCCAACAAAGACCGAATGCAGCTAAAAAGTGAGCAGCTCGCACTTTTATAAGTATTTCCGAAATTCAGTGAAATAGTAATAGCGTTAAACCGCGCCGGGCCGGGATGGTGTTTGAACACCCCCCCCCCCCCCCGCTGCGGTTTTTCGCAGATATCTAAAAAACGGCGGTGCGGACTGCGAAGCGCCGCCGTTTTTGGCACACCTGTTTGCGCATCGTTTCCGCACATGTTGTGAAAATTTCAGACCCAGGTCGCCCTAGATTAGGTCACCAGGTCACCCTAAGTGACCTCAGCTCAGAAAAAAATAAAAATGCTCGCCATAGCTACACCGACTGATCGATTGCCTTAAAACTTTCAGCGATTGATATCTATAAAATGTATATCTCGGAATTTTGATATCGGAGACCTAAGTTCAGGTCAATTTTGCGGCCTCTCCATTTTAAGTCAATGGGAGAAAATTGAAAAGCGTCTGTTTTGCACGAACGCTATTCTAGACACTCTCAAACAACGACATGTAGGTACAATTGACATACTGAACCGAAAAATGGCAACTATGACCCCTCGTGATGTCCCCGAGGTCATCTCAGGTCACGAACAGAATTTAACAGTTTTTCGCTAATAACTTCTGATAGAGGCGTGCTAGAGCGCTGAAAACGCCTTAGATGTGTTCGGCTCGACGTTGCGGATCGACTGATATGCAACATGACCTTTTCCGGTCAGGTCATGACCTTGACCTGAGGTCAAATTTTCAAGTTGACCTTCCAAGGTCAAATTATACAATTATGTATTATTACAAATTATACAAATATGTAGTTCATTCGACGCGTCTCGACGAGAGGAACACGATGCTGGCAAAAGTAATGTCATGGCTCTTTTTTAATCAGAAGTTATTGCCAAAAAACGTTTTTCGTAAAAACTGCTATTTTTGGAGTTTTTGCTCTCTGGAGGCTAAACCGTTGACCTGAGGTCAAATCTGAGAACATTGATCAGAAAGGTCTGTAAAAGGGCTATCGAATGCGCTTTTCCGCGGTGCTGTAGCTTTATCGCTTCCCGAGATAGCCGTTGGCAGTTTCCAAAATGTTGAAATAGTCAACATTTTACCTTCGGTGACCTCTGGTGACCTGACCTTTGACCTGACCCCAAAAAATGACCGAAGTGTTTTCGTCCTTATTTTGGATGTTATTTCGATTGCCGCTTACCGCGTGTCACTACGTGGCCCGTGTGGGGGGGGGGGTGTTCAGACCCCAGAGTGAACTGACCAACTGACCCCAGAGTCAGTTGTATGAGTGGGGGGTGAATGAGGATCACTTCAAGTGGGCGTTGTCTGGGTGTGAGTTGTCTTTACGCAATACAATAATACAACTATTGCAAAGATGTCGACATTGTTCTCGCTCGTGTATTGAAAACAAGACAAGGACTTGATATTCGACACAACACTAGATACATCAACGCTGGAAGATTTGCCGAACCACTGCAAAGATCTCTTGAAACATAGACTTTGGTTGTTGTGGACCCCGGGAAAGTCGAAACGATAGATGCCCTATGTACTGGATTTCAACTTCCTTCCAGCTCACACTTCTACAGACACCTCCTCTAAACGTTATTCAGAGCCGTTACGCTTCGACTGGCGACTGGCGCCGATGCTCTGGCTCTCGGCTGACGGTGCCGGTGCGGCCTGTCGGCCTGCCGGGGTGCCGGCGCGGTCCCCTATCTGCTGGGGCCGCTGGTGTCGCCGCTGAGGGGCGTGAACTCCTCCTCCTTGTCCTCCTCCGAGTCCGGGGCCGGAGCGGCCCCGGCCGGCGGCGCGCCGAACGCCTCGCCGCCGCTGGTGCCGAGCTGCGGCCCGGTGCCGTCGCTGCCACCGCCGCTGGTGCCGAACTGCGGCCCGGTGCCGTCGCTGCCACCGCCGCTGGTGCCGAGCTGCGGCCGGGTGCCGTCGCTGCCGCTCACCTTGTAGCCGGAGAGGGTGACGAATCTGCGGTCCAGGTGATCCGACTCGTGGACGAAGCCGTCCGCCACCTGCACACCAGACACACGGTGAATGGCCGAAATAGGCACCCAAGGCGGCCGTGCTTTGATAGTTATTCTTTATCAACAACTACTTAAGAGATGAAGGCATACAGTTGCCTCGTAAAAATGTGTTGTCTAATATTTCCCCGACTATATCCTTTGCCTCGTCGTGTGAAGTGGTGACGGCCCCGACCTCTCACCCGCAGCGAGACGGTGTCGTGGTAGTTCAGATAGACGATTGCCGAGTTGCTGGCCGTGTTGTAGCCAACGCCGTCTCCGTGGGCCCTGACGACCTCGGCATTGTTCTGGACCAGTTTCAGGCTGCAACATGGTTAGTGAGGATGATAACAGCTCTGCGTTATAAATGCTCCCCGTTTTGGCCCATGCCGTATGAAGTTGAAGCTGTCCAAGAATAAGGCAAACGATTGAATGGATAATGGCTGCACCTTCCACATGGGCTTTAATGACCACGTTTATTCCCAAGCAGCTTTGCGTCTGCTGCAATCTTGCTTACTGAGTTGTTTGGAAGCTGCAAGCAAGCGAATTCCGCCCAACGCTCTGTAACAACTACAAATGCAGAAAGATGTAAAAATATCGTGTCTGGCTGGATATTGCCTGAAATAAAACACAGGGAACGCGCGGTAGCCCGGCATGAGCTCATTTGATGCGCCATTGATACGCACGTGAGGCCGAAGTTTTTCTTGCAAAGACCGTGGAACGAGATGTAGTAGTATCCGGGGTCAGTGCACTTGAAGTGACTTCGCCGATAGTTCCAGCTTCCATCGCTGTCAGCCAGAACCTCGTAGAACTTGATTTTGCCTGCAAGATGTCATCGCTAGTCAATGCCGGACATATGCTGAAGGAGTTTGAGACTCTGAGCATCGCATATCGTCAATTGCAATTGCTTCCAATGAGTACCTATATAGCAGTCTCCCACAACAGGATTTCACCCCTTTCCCCAAGAAACCCGTCCGTTCCTGCAAATTCCCGTACCCCGTATTTAGCAGCAGAGCTGACCTCTCGTCCCCCGGCCCGTACCTGCCCTGTTCCCTTTCCCCCTGACTTACCGTTTCTGGCCACAGAGCTGACGTGGCCCACGGAGAAAACGGAGGCCTGCACATAGCCGGTCACGGCCAGCACGGCCAGACAGGCGATCAGTGACCTCCTGGGGACGAGAACGGCGGTCAGATGCGCTCGCAGTCGGTCCAGGCAGTTAGTCAGCCAGTCAGTCAGTCAGTCAGTCAGTCAGTCAGTCAGTCAGTCAGTCAGTCAGTCAGTCAGTCAGTCAGTCAGTCTCTCACTCACCCACTCACTCACTCACTCGGCCAGTCAGTCAGTCAGTCAGTCAGTCAGTCAGTCAGTCAGTCAGTCAGTCAGTCGCTTACTCACTCAGTCAGTCAGTCAGTCAGTCAGTCAGTCAGTTAGTCAGTCGCTTACTCACTCAGTCAGTCAGTCAGTCAGTCATTCAGTCAGTCAGTCAGTCAGTCTGGGGATGGTGCTTGACAGAAAGCAGCTTGAAACTTAACCTTGGCCTGCAACATTCACATTTTGAACCGTGAAAGCGTTTATGCACAGACCTAGGGGAAGACGACAAAAAAGTTGGCTGGGAGCAACAATAATAACTTGCAGGACCTTGTGAATGCTGTTAACCCTCGCCCTGGCAGGACATTTTTCATAACACGGCCTGGCAAGGGGGGTCGATGCGAACCCCCCTCGCGATTGACTCCTATGGCACCTAGAAACACCAAATTTGGTAGGTAGGTGGGCCGCCTGGAGTTCTCGCCCCTGTGGAAATCGGCCGGTGACAGCGGGCGGGTCAGGACGCGTGCGCGCGCTGCTCCGCTGAGCCACGCAGAGTGCGGAGTCCCCGAGCGTGACCACGCACTCCTCGTTTGCTGTGCCGGTGGCTTTTTGTTGGCTCCACAGTGAACACATGAAAGTGTGAGCCTCAGACTTACGTGGAGCCTGCGACATTAGTGCCTTCGATTTTTGCCAACGCGCTGCAGACACGCGCGTCTGCCATGCCGCGCCGAGCCGCGTCGCAGTGTACAGGTGAGGACAGTGACAGTGTGACGGGTGGTCACCCGTCCGACACCAGTTGCGATCAGCGATCCGTCAGTGAGTTGGTGCGCAACTACAGCGACCCCGCCGGTGAAGGACAGAAGCGGGACCGATCGGAGTCTGGAGACGTTGCACCCGCCTGCAAGCGCGGGGCCAGAGCAGGGGCGTCGTTTTGTATAGGCCTGGTAGGGCCCGAGCCCTACCAATGTTTATTTGGGCACTACCAATGTTCGCTGAGCCCTACCAATCTTTTGTCACTTATCAGTTGGTAAAAAAAAATCAAAATAAACAGATAGCAAATAAACATATATGTAGGTATGTACAGTCGTCACAGATGTATGTGGCCTGTGGGCCGTAGGAGCTGCTGTCGCGACCCATTCGCAAGGCGGCAGGGGTTTTTAGGGAATGGCAAGGGGTCCTCACTCCTCAGGCCGGCAAAGGGTCCTCAGAGGCTGGCAGCACCTTCAGAAGTTCAATGGAGTCCTTAGAGAACGGCACGGTACTCTCAGACTCCGGTGGGATCCTCAGATTTGCCGGTGTGGGCCACGCAAAAGTCACCGGTGGGCGGTGGGTGTCCGTCAGATGCACATGTGTGGGGCTTTCCAAGGCACCGGAGTGGGACCTGCACAGTCGTCGGTGAGGGCCCTCTTAAGCGCCGTTTCGGGGCCCTCAGATACACTGGTTTATGGCCATCACAGATATGCGTGGGACCCTTAGAGCTGCTGAGTGCTGGTGCGGGCCTTTCATAGGCTAGGCCGACAAGGGGACCTCAGAGGTCGGTGGTGCCTTCAGGAGCGACGAGGGGTCCCTTTATACCGGAATAGTACACACATCAGATGCCACTGGGACCCTCAGAGTCACCAGTGTGGACTCAGTGGAGCCGTCAGAGTCGCTGGTGTAGGGCCTTAGGAGCCTCTGATGAAGACCCTCAGAACTGGGGGAGAAGGGGCCTCAGAAACGCCGGTGTGGGCTATCAGAGGCGCCGGTGAGGGTCCTCACAGATATTGGGGCCCTAAGAGAATTGGTGTTGGACCATCACAGGCGGGCATGCGGCTAGTAGAGCCTGCTCCTACTAGGCCGGTAAGGGCCCTCAGAGGCCACCAATGGGCCCTCAGAGACCAGCAAGAGACCGTGAAGGGCAGGCTGGTAAGGGCTCCTTGGCGGCCTTTTAGGGCCCTAACTGGTGACAAGGACTCTGAAGAAGCCGGCGTGGGGCACTTACGGAGATCTTAATACGCCACCGGGGGCCCACGAGATGCTCTGACGAGCCCTGTGGGTCCCTTTGAGACGAAATATGGCTAGCGTGGACCCTCAGCGGTCGATTGGCGCCGCAGGGCCCCGAAGGGCCCCCTGGACCCGATGGGAGGGACACGTGCCCCCTGTGCCCCCCTTGGCTACACCACTGGAATCTATCATGTTATCTATGACTCAAGGAAATATGAAAAATGAGCACTTTTTGTTGAAAAATGGCAAGCTCGAAAGGAGGCTTAGCGCGGAGTTTTTGGTCCCTTTATCGAAAATCTAGAAGATGTCATTGAATGAACAACTTGTTACCGTAAAGGAATTGTGGGTGTCACACGTTGACACTAAGGGACACTGTGCCGAGTTGCGCAAGTGGAAGCACACCGAGTAACGGCCACCAAATGAGTGTTACTAGTTGAAGTTAGTCAGCAAGGTGATAGTGGTTGCATTTTGGGATGCCGACGGGGCTCTGCTTGTCAACTTTCTAAAACAGGGGCGCACAATTGATGATGTGCGTCCATTCGCTAGACGTCGAGGAGAGTCTATAGGGAAGCTGACATAAAGTGTGCACCTGATCCACGACCACGCACTTGCGTATATGCGCGGGTTGACGATTAGTGAAGCGATGAAATGTGGCTTCGAGTTGTTGTCGCATCCACTTTTTTCTCCAAACCCTGCACCCTCTGGTTGCCACCTCTTCCCCAACATAAGGAAATTAGCAGTGGCAACTTCGCTGACTGCAGGGAGACGAAGCAGCCGTCTTGGACGTGGGATGGGTTCAAAACCCACTTGATTATGGAGACCTTGAGGGCTCTCCCGAAGCGCTGCGCGAAATGTGTTTGTCTTAAGGGTGGTTATTTGAATAAATGAACTTTTTGGTCTAATAAGTCGATGCTGTACCTTTCTGCCTCTTCATGGTCAGGCATGTAACTTTCTGAACGCTGGCTCGTACTGTCATTTTTTTGCATCCTTTTATTTTGGCAAGCAGGTCTTTCTAACTATCGTAGTGTTTCGAGACCTCGTTAGTTGTCGAACCCTGCAATTGGCGTGGGTCTTCAAAGCCGTTCCTGGCCCCGCAGCCGTCTCTTTCATTCAGCTTGGGCCATCAAAGCCGTTCCTGGCCCATTTCAGCACAGCCGTCCTTTTAAGTCGGCGTGGGCCTCTTTCAGAATAGCGTGCACTCCTCCGACACTATTATATCTGCCTATTTAACTGCACGTTTTGTGCATGGAGCTCGGTGAGGACCTATAGACTTTCAAAATGTTTTTTTTTCTATATTTTGGTTTGCCTTGTCAATGACCAGGGCGAAAAATAAGTGGCCGAAATCCGATGAGAAAGGCAGATTTGGGGGTACCCTATACCTTGTAAGCCCCATCACATATGGCCGGCCGCCGCCTTTGGGCCCTACCAATCATTTTCGGAAAACGACACCCCTGGGCCAGAGAGCGGAACGGCGAGCCGGGCCGCAGCCCGTCGACACTCGGCGGCAACAGAGGCTTCAGAGAGCAACTGGATGTGGAAATTTGGTTGCTCTAGGTCAAAATTTAGGGGTTTTTGGGGGGTATAAATGTAAAAAGTTCGCTAAAAACAGGTCAAAAGTTTTTCGCCTATAACTTTTGATCTAATTAAGATAGAGCAAAAAAAGCATCACTGAACTCAGCACGTCAAGGCGCGTCGAATGATATACTGTTGTGCTTGCCTAAGTGTACTTAAAGTTTTTCTTAATTGTTAAGGAAACTTAAATTAATAAATTAAGTTCAAGTTAACCAAATTGCATTATAGCGCGTATCATTCGATTTGGCTGATCACCATGAACACAATTACACCATTTTTTAAGCTCTAGCGTCATTATGTGTCAAGTTATTGGCAAAAATGTAATTTAACCTCAGTTGACCTCATTTGACCTGACCCATACCTGGACCTGGATACCTGGATAGGTACACCAAACAAAGAAGCACCAAGTGACCTGCTGTTAAGTACTGTGGTTTCAAAGCACAAAAGTGATAGAACGAAGCGGATATCTCCAGTATTTTCCGAATTTAGTATTTTCCCGTAGGCTTAACATTACGACGTAACGACCTCTAAATGACCTCAGGTCAGTGACCTCAAAAACCCAAACTATATGTTATACATCTCGGTGAGCTTAGCACATCCTGAAAGTTTGAAGGAAATCAGTCTAAAACTGTGAGTTGGACAGGTGCAAAAAGAAAATTGAAATTTGACCATGACCTTGTACCGGTTTTTCTGACCTGGTGACCTGACCCAAGGTCACCTGGACCTGAAATTTTCAGGTCATATGTAAAAAAGTTGCCCCATAGGCTGTGCCAAATTTGGTGGCGCTGCGCGCCGCCGTTTTTACGCTATCTTCGAGAAACCTTAGGGGGGTCACATCGACCCCCCTGCCAGGGCGAGGGTTAAAAGTGCTCAGTTCAGTAATTTAACGCAAAGGGCAAAGGCGTTTGAAGAACAACACTAGGCAAAATAGCTGAAAGATGAACATAACATATGCGATAAGGATGGAAATTAGGTACTTACATTTTGGAGCGCAGAGTACGTTCGATCAAAGCGCTACGTGGCTGCGGAGTGTTGTTTCCATCACTTCCTCCGGCGGCCTTTATAGCTGGGTGGGCGCGGCGTGCGACCCCTCCAAGGACGGCGGGAGGACCGGCTGGCGAGTCCTCTTCACCTCGCCGCGGGCCGCGAGGCACGCGTGAGCCGATTGTCAACACGGCCGGCACGGCACCAGCCAGAAGACGAGCAAAAACAATCCGGTCAACGACAGCTCAACAACACCGACAGCGGAGTCACGGCGGCACGCATAAGCCATACTAATCGTATTAGTGTCTTCAAAGCCTCGGCACACAGGAAGGTAGGGGGGGTGGTAACATCAGGTCTGTTGTCAAGGAACATCTTTGCTGCACAAGAGGCTTTTGCTGCTTTCCAGTTTCAGCTTTTCACTTGTATTTTATTCCTTGCCCGGCTGAGGTAGGAGGGGTTGATACAACGCCCGCTCCCCATGTTATTCGCAGGAAGTGTAAATCTAAAAATTTTAATTAGTATATTTACCCTGTGGTGTCTTTTTGGCACATTTTTAAAACTTTCAACTTTCAGTCATTTTAGGTAAGGTTGCCAGGTCACAAAAACTGGTACATGGTCAGGGTAGAATTGGAATGATTTAACGGCATCTGGTCATTCAAGTTGTTCGCGGTAGGGGCAAAACAGTGATACGTGGTGCCACTACCTTTATAACACTTTTTAAAACAGCTAGTTGACAAATGTACACGTCCTAATGACCTCAGATCATATCACCATGTCACGAAAGTCGGTGCATCGTCAAAATAGCACTAAAATACATTTATTTTCCTCTAAAAAAAAAACAATGTCTTGTAGCTATTCATTCAAATTTCCAGGTCTGCTTGCTCGCGGTAGGTATATAGGTTTAATGAGTGTCGTAACACACAACTCGCTTTTGCTAAAACTGTTTCCAATACACATTCAAGTGAACAATATTATCTAAATATCCTAAAACTGTGAATATAGGCTGCGTTTTGCTCATTACGCTGCTCGTTTTACAATCGTGACACATTTTTTGGGGTTGGTGAAACTTGTTTTAACCGGTGTCTCGTTGAGATCTGACAGGTTATAGGTCCCGTGGCGGGGGGGGGGGGGCAAAGGGCCCCGTCGCACCGGACTTCTAAAAAAGTCAGACGAATTCATTATTAATACATTTCAGGATGTAATAACTAAAATGAGTGTTACTAAAATGTGTTACTAAATGTGTTAGTGTTACTAAAATGAATCAGGTATCACCTAAAAGCCTGGCCAAAGAAGTTTTGTTCGAGGGAGTTTCGTCCGTCAGCGATCGCCTTGCTGAGCCGTGCCTCGGACTGCAAAATGACCCCTCGTTTCGCTCGATGCTAATTTTAGCTCGGCGGAGCACAGCATCTGCTGCAACACGGCGCGTGGAAGCGGCAGGTAGCGCACAGCCGATTTCACATGCATCCTTGAGGCCTTCGGGACTTTTTTTTGGGGGGGGGGTCCGGCATACCTGGGAATTGAGGGTCCTACTGGAAAAAGACTGGTGGGGTCGAGTGCAAGGAGCTCGCCGGCTACGGGTGCGGGTCAGGTCAATATTGAGGTCACCAGAGGTCATCAACGATAAAATGTTTTGGAATTAGTTACTTATATAACTTTTAAACTAAGAAACATAGAGACATAAAGTTAATGCATTTTTGCTGCTCTCGTCGAGGCGATGCGAAATAAGTATGCGGTGACCTTCACGGGTCAATTTGAAATTTGACCTGAGGTCAAGTTCAGGTCATTCACCAATGAGGTTGTGGGGTATGGTCATGCTGCATACCAAACGACGCGCCTTGACCAGGCGAGCAGTTTGGTACCACTTACAAGTCTTTAGCATCATCATGTCGTGATTTGTTGACAGAAAACGATTTATGACTCACATGACCTCAGATGACCTTTCCCGGTGCCCCTGTCAATAAGCGGCATCGGGATCATCACCGATGAGATAATATTCCATAATACTGAAATAATTGGGTGGTTTTGACTCGTTTACACGAAGCAGGAGGCGTTTCAATATTTCCCCATAGGCTTGCAATGTAAAGGTCACGAGTCTGGCCTGACCTCAGGTCACAGATATAAAAATTCTGAGATATACAAATTGCACATACTGATACTCTAACTAAAACCTGAAGAGAAGAAATTGATAAGTCAAAAACTCCAGCTCTGGCGTGATTGCAAACTTTTCTGAGATGGGGTCAACAAACCACCTCTGGTGACCTGACCTGACCTGACCCGGCAATTTTTTTGTCAAAATGTGCGCAATGAATGTTTAGAAAAGGTCACCGAGTATGAGCTTTCAGTCTTGCGGCGTTTGGCAATGGCACAAGAAAAACCTGAAGGGGGCCTTAAAGGCCCCCACCCCCCGCCCGGAATAGGTTAAACCTCGAGATCACGCGCTGCCCAAACGCTCCCACAACCACTTCCGCGGTTTTCTTTCGCGGTATTGGCCGTGGCACCGTATTTCTGGAACAATTGGATCTTTACTGCTTCCGGATCTCTACTCATCCTGATTTGCAGGACCATCCAAAACTTCGCCAGGGTGACCCGGTATTGCTAATCGTTGACAGTGTGGGTAGTGGATCTCTCACACGAGCGGGCTTCGCAGGGCTCCTTAGATTGGGTTTGCGGCCGCCTTGAACCGCCGTGTGTTCCATGAACTTGTCGTTAACATTTCCTGAGACAGAAATTTGCCAACAGTTTTGCAAATTACGTTAGGGGATGGTGCTCTCTAGTGTTTGCGGAACGACCCTGTAACGAAACGACCGACTTGATCTGAAACTAATTTAACGGGTTTTGATTTGTCGTCCTAAGACCACGGCTTCGTTTTTTTAACTTAAAATGCATGGTATGACACAAATCTCCTACAAAATTGCTTTATTTTCACGTGAATTTATTTCGTCTAAATATTGTTTCGAGTAGACTACCGCAAAAGAAATTCATGTGCCTTTTTTTAGAAGCCCGGTATCTCCAGAGCCACTTTTAGGATCAGAGAAATTCAAACGGTATTCAAAAGATCAAATCTTTTTTGCTTGGAAATGACAGAACATGGAGTCCATTCTGACGTCATTTGTGGCCAAACCGTCCTATTCTCTGGATTTTTTATTTTGTCACATGGTGAGAAATTCATTCCCAGAGGGATCCTCACAGTCAACCCGCGCGCTAGTGGGGTCTGCTTATAACGCGACCTGGGGGGTATTTTTGCCCCCTCTCACTCCCGTATCTCCGAAACTACTGGACGGATCCACGAAATTCAAACGGCGTTCGAAAGCCCTGTCAAAATTGGTAGGGAATTTCACATGTCATTTACCTAGGGGTCACCGATGACGTCACAGGTCAGGTCAAAGATAAAATGTTTTGCCGTTCATTGGTCTTCGAAATACGCTATAAAATTGAGTAAAACCCATTTTATCGAAAATCAGCGATAGGGCGTTAGTTGCCTAGTACATATGTTGCTATTAACCCTCGCCAGACCTATTGGTTTTCTACATACGCGCCGGCCGAGGAGGGGGGGGGGGCGGCCGGTACGACCCCCCCCCCCTCCCTCGCCGTTTCGCCCCTGGTGGAGCCAGCGGGTCGCGGAAAAAAAACGAGCGTGTGCGCCGTTACGAGACGCAGAGATTGATACCCGATTTTAAAGTACTATGTCAACCGGTGACCTCTGAGGTCAGGTCAAGTGCCCCAGGGTACGGTTCAGTTTTTGGTGAATAGCATCGCAAAAACGGCCGCAGAGCCGCGATTTTGGCAGCATCGTGTTGGCCTCGCTCAGGCGCGTCGAATGATTTACTTTTTGTTTGGGTGGCGTCAATTTAGGATGTTGATCACAGGTCACGGTCAGGTCAGCGCCGTAGGTCACGAAATTGGTCAAAGGAGGTCATGTCGCATATCATTCGATTTGGCAGGTCTTCTTGAGTCCATTGGTGGCTTTCCCGAATCTCTAACTCAATTTAATCGGGAGTTATTGATGAAAAACTAATATGACCCTAATGACCTAATAAATGACGTCATGCAAGGTCAGCATTGCAAAAGTGACGCATCTAACCTTGCAGGGAGTGCACCAAATCACGATTCTGGGTGCTTGAGATAGTTCGAGATTGTTCACGGTGCCAGAATAGCAGTTTTAATTTTACCCCATTGACTTATAATGGTAAGGTCATGAAAATGACCTGACCTCATTAGACCTTTAAGAAAAATCCGAAATATACAAGTTGTGAAACTCGTAATGGATACTAGATCCTGCAAGTTTCATTTCCCTGTGAGAGCTCCTCTGGCAGTGAGGGCGTTGCCAAGTTGCGACATCTGAAGACCGTGCAGAGGTTCACTTATGTATGACGTCATAGGTCAGTGACTTGACCTAACCTGAAAATGCGGTTGGTGTCAAAAGATCCGACTTGAATCAAAGGTCAAGTATACCAAGTTTCAGCACTCTATCGCCAGCGTATTTGGAGCTATAGCGAAAAAAAAACCTAAAGCCCTCGGCCGGTGAGGGTCAGGCATGCCAAGTTTCAGCTCTCTATCGCCGGCGTGTTCGGAGCTATCGCGAAAAAATCCTATGGGGGGCGCCCCCCTTGGCCGGCGAGGGTTAAAGGTCACTGATAATACCAGGTAAGGTCACAGGTCAGGTCACCAAAGGATCAGCACATGAGCTCAATTTTACTAGGGCTGTATGATGCATGTTTTATGGCCAAATGTTCATTTCCAACTCAATGGTGTTCGTTATAAGACCATCTGTTACAGTTTACGTCTGTTACTGTCCGGAGGAAGGAGCCCGCTGGGATACTGCGCGGGATTTGTATGGGAAATGTATTTAGGTCAATGGATGGCTGTGAATGAGGGTTGAAGTGGGGGATGGGGGTGAGATTGCTGTGATGATAATACGGTGATTCACTACATAAATGGCTGAATGAACTTTAAGTTGATTTACTCCGCGAATTACGTCGAAATACGATTCAATGTAAAGTAACGCGACCGTTCTTGCTACATATTTGGTGACCGTGACAGGACACTGGGCAAACCGAAATGGATAAATACGTAGAATTAGCGACAAGACAAGGCTTATCCGGACTGGAAGCTCTAGAATTCGCATCGAAGCAATATGAGAAGGATCAGGAGCGGGAAGAAAGAAAGCTAACAAGGGAAAGGGAGCGTGAAGAAAAGGAACTAGAGCGTGAGGAAAGAGAGAAGGAAAGACAGTTTGAAATAGAAAAGCTGCGACTTTTGGATGGTTCGATGGCCAGCAATGGTACAAGAACGAGTAAGAAGCTTCCAAAGCTCCCTCCATTTGAAGAAAATGGTGACATGGACATATACCTGACAAGATTTGAAAGAATCGCCCAGTCTAACAACTGGAACAGAGAGGATTGGGCGGTATCATTGAGCGCTCTGCTCACTGGAAAGGCTCTGGAAGTCTATCATCGTTTGAGTGCAGACGAGGCTGATGACTATGAGATCCTCAAGGAAGCACTGCTAAAGCGGTATGGTCTTACTGCTGACGGTTTTCGCAGACGTCTGCGGGAATCG